TCCTGGCCTAGTATACGATGCTACTCCACAAGATTACGTAAATCTTCTATGCTCTCTGAATTTCACAGAAGAGCAATTCAAGACAATTGCAAGATCATCAGACAACCACAACTGCTCAAATCCATCCGCCGATCTCAATTACCCGTCGTTCATTGCATTGTACCCCCTCGAGGGACCCTTCACATTCTTGGAGCAGAAATTCAGGAGGACAGTAACAAATGTTGGTCAAGGTGCAGCTACTTATAAAGCTAAGCTAAAAGCTCCAAAGAACACTACAGTTTCAGTATCACCACAAACTCTGGTATTCAAGAAGAAAAATGAGAAACAAAGTTATACTTTGACAATTCGTTATTTAGGTGATGTGGGTCAGAGTAGAAACGTTGGGTCCATCACTTGGGTTGAAGAGAATGGAAACCATTCTGTTAGGAGTCCTATAGTGACATCTCCCATTATTGAGATCTGGTCATAAGTTGTGCTACTTTATGAAATATTTTGACTTGGGATGCATGGGAGAAATCATGTATTATACTGTACGAATTGTCTCATTGTCTGTGCCTATCCTAAATTAATAATGATGATAAATTTGCTAGCAAATTGCAGCAATTATCTTAGTATAGAACATTTGCTTGCAGCACCTAGTGCGTTGTCAACAATTCTTTTATGCTTTTATGTCAGTAATTACTAGTAGTTCCAATTCGCTTTTAATTTTTTTATCTAATTTTTGGGAGAAGTGCACATTTCTCTTTTTATTACGAAGTAGTTAAAAATAAGGTAAGATTAAAAGAAAAATAAAAATGTTCTTTAACTTTACTCCTTTTTTCGTTTTCAATCAAAGGATGATAATATAGTTACTGTTACATCACCAACTAATAGAAATTGTATGAATCCAATACAAATATTTATTTGGGAGAAAATGATATGATAATTACACTTTGAATAGAAGAAAATAAAGAAAACCCTATAAGAATCTCTAACGTATGTTTCGGTGTCTCCAAAAACGTAGAAAACCCTACAGGCATTTATTTATATTGCAACAAATATCAATACTTAAGTTGTTCGTGGCGACTTCCCCTCTCAATTCAACCTTAGCCTTCGAACTCTCCATTGATTTGGGTTCTGCTAACTGTCCTTTCTTAAAATGTTTTTCAACACACTGCAAGCAAGTGTTCATATGCTCTGAAAATTGCTGCAATTGACTAGTAAATTTATTCCATTGTCTTTTGGGCGTAGGACATTGGAATAAACATATATGTTTATCTAATTAACGTGTTTCCTGGAAATTTTTTGTGTGCATTAACATTGTTGATTTTTCTTGTAACACCTTTCTTTATTTGATCAAAGTTCTTAGGGATAAAATCAGTAATGTTGGGGCGTTTCAACGCTTAAAGTAGCTTATAGCGCATACAATATGATTTATTCCAATGTCGTATGGATAGGACAAGAACTCTTTCATTCAGTATACATAATCTAACAGAGGCGGATCTAGCATGGCGGTACATGATTAGTCTGGACCAAGTACTTTCAATGCAAAGCATAAAATTATGTATAAAAATTAACTAAAATTGCAATAAATAGTAAATATGAACCTATTATAATTTTAGAAATCACACACAAAGCAAATAGAGAAGAAAAATCAACACAGATTTAACGAGGTTCGGTTAAGCCTAATCCTCCGGGCAAAAGTAGAGAGCGTTTTTCACTATGAATGAGAAGAAAAACACAGTACAATCTCTAGGATCCCCAACTACAACTCCTATATATAGTGTTTTGTAAGCCGTCCGATAAGCCCATAACGCATTATCAAGATTCCATGTTCGCTCACTACACACTACTCTTCTTTAGCCACAAACTGTTGAATTGACTTTATGGGATTAATTAGCGTAGAACATAAGGTCCCCTAGTAATCAGTAAACTAATAAAGTTAGGTCGCTATTGAAATGCGATAAGAGGCACCAATGAATTAAGTACTACTAAACAATAGGCGGCTTGTGTAAAAATGTACAATTCCAATTAAGATATCAGTTTGTGCGGATGTCTGCCTCTTCTCACAGGCTGCCTGAAATGATTCTCCATGTCAATCTGTCAATTATATTATTCCCACTTATCATTTAATTGAAGTTACTTATTTTGTTTCTTTTTTCTTTATAAAATACTAATTTTAAACATAGGCGGCTTATGTAAAAGTGTATTGTATCAGTTTGTAGCTCTTCTTAAAGGCTGCCTAAGAAGACCCTATATGTTCTGTCAATTATTCCCCCACTTATAATTTAAAATTAATGTTAGTTAAGTACTTTGTTTCTTCTTTTCTTTAATATTGGAGTAGTAATTTTTATGAATCTGCTGAGACAATGTAATTCTAAGTCAAATATAATTTTTCAAAGAAAAGGAAAAGTCAGTCGATAATCAAGGATGCTGCTTTCACGCTTTCTCCATCACCATACACCGGTAAAACACTGGGTGCCGGTAAGTATTTACCTCACATTGTAAGTTTATATAATTCTGTGACTTCTGTCAGCTTATGCTCCTTTTGCTTCTGGATTTTACAATCATTTTGATAAGCATTGTTGATTTGGTGAATCAATCAACGTAGAATAAAAGATTAGAAAAGAGAACATGACAGAACAACCCAAAGTTCATAGGAAGAGTAATAATAGAATCTTGAAATCCTTAACCGGGCAAGCGAATGAGCATTGATTTCCTTTTCCCTCTTATTTCTTGAACACCGGTTTTATATTTGAATGTTAATTCAATTGGATTTATGAATCATTCAGTTTTTTTCCCTCTCTCTCTCTTCTTTTTCCTTCACTTTCTGTGAATATTTCTCGGTCCAAACTATTAGGTTAGGATGAAATATATGAGAGATCATGGCTTGAATTCCAATAGAGAAAAAAAAAAAAAAATCGAATAGAGGTAAAAGAAAGTGGAGTAATTTCTTCTATATGTCTAAGTTGGTGAGAGGTAATAGTTGGTAATTAGTTGGTGCGCTTAATTTGTTTCCAACACTATTTTTATATCATTAAAAAACTTAGAAAAAAGGAAAAAGTATTCTTTCGCTCCCGTGGGATATCTATATATAAATATAAAATTAGGAATTGGTCAGCTGATGTGGTATCCCTATATGGCAAGTTTTCATATTTATCATTTTTCTGATTTTTTGAGATTTTCTACTAATTTTAATACCAAAAAATCATTTACTACCTAGAACTAATAACGAAACAGATGAGACTTATGGAGTAGAAGATTTCAGTTATGGAATATACAAAAAGTGTAATTACTACTTAATTACGAAGAGAATTCAGTTATAGAATATAAAGAAAGAGTAAGTAATTAATTAACTTGTAATTGAAGAGCACGTTGGTTAATATATATAGGCTACCATGTGGCAATTAACAATATAAGATGTACTAATAGTAATGGGTTGCACTATCTCATCAGTAACCTTGCCAGTTTGTATTTATTTACTGTGCAAATAAAGAAATCAATGAAGAATTGTATTAATGGTAATAAAGAGTGATAAGAGAACAGTGGCTCATATAAGCCCCTTTACTTTGCTGCCTCCAACAATCTGAAGCATATGTAACTCATCAAAGGTACTTATCTTTTCTTTCTTTTTTATTTTCCTTTTTCACCTAAATTATCGGTTACCTAATTTTTAGAAGCCCTAATATCTCTAAAGTAATAACATTCAACTTTTTCCCTTCTGTAACTATTTATTTACTTCTTTTAACAAACAAATGGATGTTAAAAGAAATAATTGTAGCAAGGACTCTCCGTCATCAACGTCTCATCTTCTCAATATCATCTGGGGAGAAAATGGAGCTGAAATTGCCAAGAAGAGTACGTAAGACAATGTTAGATCCTCTAGCTTATCATTTTCAACAAATATTTCCAAAGAATTAAATATCTAACATCACTAGGTTCTATGCTTCTAACGATCGTTAAAGTTCGATATCATTTTCTTTCCATAATGTATATTAGTCATAAGCAATATGAAGAAGAAAAAATTGCTTCAAATGCAAGAGTTTGTGCTTCTCAAGCTGAAGGCACAAATATTGACGGGAACAAATATGACAATCACAAGATAGAAAGTCACGGTCAATATGAACTTTTCCTTAAATTAATCCACATACACAATGCAGAAGAAATTCAAAGGACCATTTAGGAGGAGAAATGGTTAACATTATTGTATGCAAACATATGAACTTGTATATGTGAATATTTTTAATGTATTTGTCGTGATGATCAATTTTGATGTCGTTTGATATACGTTTTCTATGGCATATTATAAATATTTGACTTGTATGTAAATTCAAACAAAGACTTGAATAGATGATTTTTTGGGTTTATTATGATAATTTTACTTGATACTTATTTAGTAGTATTAATTTACCTTTAGCATAGTATGTATGGATTCTAAATTTGAATAATATATACACAGAAAGAGGAATCTTAGTTAAAGATGATTTTCCTTTGTGTTTTTGTCATGATAGTGATTTGCGTGATATTTTTCGGAGAAATTTATAGATGCTGAATTTTGGCACTTTATGGACCCTGAAAGTTTATTTTACGTATCTTACTGTCTCTGAATTATGAGGGATTAGGCATTGAAATCGGTAACTGAGATAGTAGAAACTTATCCTTAATCCAATCGTCTCTCGATTTTATCAATACCAATGCAAATATTGTCTTGTTTCATCAACCTTTAGAAGGCCTCTGCTAAGACACATCAATATTCAATAGTAATGACTGAAAAGGAGCGTATCATGGATGTATTACATAACCTTTTGAAGAAGATTTCATGTAATAATTTAAATAAGTTATTATGTAATAAGATTCATTTTTTTGTTAAGAACTGCGCGAGCGTGGACCATTACACTAGTTTATATTTGTAAGAGGGAGGGCCATAGATCATTATTATGGTCCCCAGTAATGATGAATACTTCCACCTCAATTTTTTACTTGTCTATTATACTAAAAGTAAATGTCCACTCTTACTTGTTCAGTATAAAAGAAAATCAAAAGATAATTTATCATTTTACACCTACTTTACCCTTATTAAATACTACTCCATCTCTTTAAAAAAGAATGAACATGTTATTATTTGGGGAGTCAAACAAGAGATAATTTTTAAATATTTTGACTTATTGTAACTTTTATGCAATAAATATGTAAGTTTTAGTTCAAAAAACTCTAGTGAGTAGTCTATTTTGAATAGCTAGCCACATGATGAATCTATGCTTAGGCTGTGCCACAGGAGTCCAAATTAGTTCAGCAAAAGCCAATTTTGGGTGGTCATTCCTTAGTTCCATGTAACTCCTATTAATAGAATAGACTCATGTTGATGTGAGCCTATATCTACCATGTATGTACCAATTCTGCATTTTATCAGCTAGCCCTTTGATCTTTCTCCGGTACCAGCTACTATCTGCAGGTACTTTGTGATTCCAGATGTCCTCACCATTCTTTAAGTATACACCATGTACCCATTTTATCCACAATGAATCTTTATTTACTACCAGTTGCCATACTATTTTTCCAACTGCAGCCATGTTCCGGAATCTACATTTTTTGATATTTAAGCCTTCATTCTTCTTAGAGCAACATATTTTATCCCATGCAACTAAGGATACTTTCCTCTTATTTTCTGAGCCACCCATAAGTACTCTCTACATGTAACACTCCTCAAATATGTAAAAGTTTCAAGACACGCGAAATATAGAATTTAATTATTTATTTTTTTATAATCTTAAATTCTACTTCTATTACGGACTAAAACCCTTGTGATTAAGTTTGAGTTACTTCCCTATTTATAAATAATTGGATGTACAATTAGGAAAATATTAATAATTTTAATGTTATTAATTATTAAAAGTAAGTATAATTAAATGTTAGTTAAGTCAAAAAAATAATTACCCTAAAGCCCATAAAAGGGTTGTTGTAAACAAAGGCTTAAAGCCTTATACAAACCAAAAAAAAAGAGAAATAATTAAGCAAAAGAGAGTCACGTGACTCAAGCTAAAAGGTTTGAAGGGAACAAAGAAAAGGGATTATGCCTTAGAGATCAGAAAACAGAGAAACAGGCGCACGGTATTACGAGAGGCAACAGAAATTTCACGAAAAATTATAGGGTTCTTTACAAATCACTAAATCTTGAACTCAGGTACATAGAATTTTCTATTCTCAATTATCATAAAGTAGTAGTAGGTAAGAATAGAATAGTTAATCTTCTTCTTCCTCTATATCAACAATAAATTTCATGTTTAGGTGTGAAACTTTAAAATTGATTAATATGCATTGGTTGTTGTAGAATCGATTGTTTGACTGGTGTCAATTAGATTGAGGTCTACGTATTGGCTCGAGAAGTTTTGAGGTGAGTTGATATAACCCTTTACTAAAGTAGTTTAACTCACAAGAGCACACACACAAGGTGTTTGATGAATTGCATAAAAGAGTTAATATATACTTAATGGGAGTAGTAAGTACCTATTAGCTTAGAATTATTTTCTAGTTAAAGTTTAGATGATTATTTGGATCTATATGCATAAATTTCAGATTTTTATGTTATTCTTATATGCCATTTTCATGTTGAAAACTCATGAAGGATCAAGAACCTTTATAAATAATTTTGAATGTTTATTTCATTCTTATGTCATGCCTTACATTTAAGGATACCAGTATGATGTATAAAAGATTTAGACTTGAAAAGTCACAAGAAGAAGTTTTAGAAAGAAAAGATTTTTGGGGAGTATCCATTATTCTGAGAAGGGGTCATCGTCCAGGCCTAGGGTCCTGACCAAGGCGTTAACTTCCTGAAACTACTTGTGCCAAAGTAGGAAGCACACGAGCCGAGGGTCTCCCTGCTGAGAATTTACTTAGTCATGCTAAGGTATGGGACATGACCGCTGAGAACCATGAAGTGAGTGGCACCTCGTGGATTGGGCCTATTCGATCAGGTTGGGATCGAACCCGTGCCGATCACACGGTGACTGAGACAGAATTAAGTCAGGATAGTTGGAACTCCCAATGTATAAAGTGAAGTATTTTTGTATGAGTAAGAAAAAGAAAAGAATTTCTTTTAGAATATTCATGAACTGCTATTATGCAATTATTTTAGAATTATTCTTATAAGCTTTATGTTTTACATGCATTTAGAACCTTTGCTCATAATGTATATGTTATTAAAGTTTCGCCCCCTGTTGTTGAGACTCACTGAGTACAATGGATGGTACTGACGTTCTCTTTTGGGAACTTACATTGGTCTACGGTACAACGTAGGAATCGGATTTGCAGGCGAGCAGGCTACGAGTTAGGACTTCCTTCTCTTCCAGTGCTATTGGTGAGCTCCACTTTTGTTCGTGGAGTATTCCTTAGAGTAATCTTTATTTAGTTATTTCTTTGTTACTTAGAGAACTGGCCAGGAAATCTCATGTCCTGAGCAGTGCGTCAGTTTATCAGTAGAGGCTTCATAGGTATAGTCGTTGGGTTAAGATTCAGATATTGTTGATAATAACTTAGCAGCATTTTATTGGTTACTACGAATAATGTTTTGAAATTGGCTTATTTTAGATATTTAAATCATTTAAAAGTATTTGGTTACAGTAGTGCCTTGTGGCTATAAAGTTTGAGATTATAATAGATTTGATAAGCAGAGATGGTCCGCTCGGTCATGTTTAGTGATCGAGTGTCGGTCCCAGCTTGTTCAGAAAATGGGTCGTGACAAACTTGGTATCAGAGCCTCAGGTTTATGGAGTCCTAGGGGTCTATGAAGCCGTGTTAGTAGAGTCTCATTTATGTGTATGAAACGCGCCATACTTATAAACAAGAGGCTACAAGCATTTAGGAAAAGTCACTTTTTCATACTTTAGATCGTGCAGTAGAGTCTACCTCTAAGGAATTATCTAATTTATTCGTTTCTCCAAAACTCACAGAAATGTTTCGTGCTCGCAACTCTTACACCGATACTCAGGATGGTGCTCAAGAAACTATCGATACTATTATGGCTCAAGGTAGAACTAAGAAGGCTTCGACTCAGAAAATGAGGGAAAAATCCACAAAGGGAGTCCAAATACCCCGGGTTGAACGAGAAGAAGGAGTGGAGCATGATGATCCAGTACCTCAGGATCTAGTACCGCCCCCAACAGCAGCCCCGGCTCAGGCAACTATATCTCCCGAGGTAGGTCAGATGTTTAATGTTATCAATAGTGCTATGGAGATGTTTAAAGCCTTTATGGCCAACCAGAACGAGAGAAGAGATGAGATTCCACCTCAATCAAATAGACAGAGCAATTTTGAGTCCTCAAGAGTGAATTAATTTTTAAAGTTGAATCCTCCAGTATTCCATGGTTCTATAGTTGATGAAGATCCGATGTTGTGGCTGGAGGGTGTTAAGAAAGCCCTCCGAGTGATGAAAGTATTTGATGATGAAGCTGTGGAGCTAGCTGCTTACCAGCTTAGAGATGTGGCCGGCGCTTGGTTTGAGATGTGGGAAAAGGAAAGAGATGAAGATGATGGTCCGCCTACTTGGGAAGAATTTGAAGAGGCCTTCATGGCTAACTTTATCCCAGAAGAGGATAGAGAATCTAAGGCTACAGAGTTCAAATAGCTCAAGCAAGGGAATAAAAGTGTGCAAGAGTACTACATGGAATTCATAAGGTTAGCTAAGCTTGCTCCTCACATGGTGAAGACTGAAAAAACAAAGATTCGCAGGTTTGTTGGCGGTTTAGCTTACCACATTAAGGATCCGACATCAGCTGCAGCAGTAGGGATGGAAGCCTTCTCCTCTATTGTGGGATTTGCCAAGCACTTAGAGAAAGACAGACAACTAAGGAGAGAAGAAAAAGAGCATAACAAGAAAGCCCGGACAACGGGCAAGTTTAATGGTACATCCAGCGGAGATGGAATGGATTCCTCTAATAAGGAGTCATTAGCACCAGCTCAGTCCAGTCATCAGTCAGGTGGTGGGCCTTCCTTCAGACGTACTTAAAGTTATGAAAATCAGTCTCGCCAGAATCAGAATTTTAGGACATCATCCTCACATAGCCAGAGTCATGCTGAGCAACATTCACACCAACAAAGTCTTTGTGGAACATGTAAGCAGCAACATTCAGGTCAGTGCAAGCTTGGGTTTCATGGTTGCTACCATTGTGGAGAAATTGGTCATATAAAGGCCAACTGCCCAAAGTTGCAACGTAATTTCAGTGGTGGATCAACTCGTCCTTCTAGTTCCTCAGCTACTGCAGTTGCACCCCCCTAGGCTTTTGGTTCTCATAATCAGACCAGGCATGGACCAGGTAGAGGTGCAGACCGAGTTACTCAGGGAGGGGGACAACCCCGTTTGTTTGCTACACTTG